AGCAAGGGATTAGTATCATAACAGTTGTCTGCAATTTGAAAACACCAAAATGTTATATGGAAAAATTTCTGCTATATTCTTTCAGCTTAGAGTGGAGAGCCCTGATAAAATTACTGATTGGAAGCGAAGGCTACCAGTCATCAAATTGCATTCTGTCTGTGGCATTTTTTCAAATGTTGGGGACACTGTCCATGGGAATCACACCTCTCTTCCATTTATATCTATATGTGGCTTTAAAGTCTTCAGGGCAAATCCAGTTCTTTGATTTGTAGATGAATTGCCTCATATTCAAGTGTGATTTGAATATTTCTAAAGTAGGGATATTTTTTCTTAAATATGTGCTTTATCCAACCCATCCGATAACCTCGGATGAGGTAGTACCTCCCCATTCAAGAATAGTGCACAATCTGGGGTCTTCCTGGACTCACAGTTCCTGCTTGATTAGCAGGTGGCAGCTGTGGCCCAGAAGGCCTTTGCAGAGATTCATCTGATGTACAAGTTGCACTGTTTCCAAGATCAGGAGGTCCTTTAGACAGTCACTCGTGCCCTGGTCATCTTGTGGCTTGACTACTGCAATGCGCTTTACATGGGACTGTCCTTGAAGACCACCCGGAAGCTTCAGCTGGTCCAGAATGTAGTGGCATGGGCAGTGATGGGCATATCTCAGTATGCCATGTCCTACCTCTGCCTCATGAGTTGCACCGATTGCCAGTTTGCTTCCAGTTGCAATTCAAGATGCTGGTTGTTACCTATAAAGCCCTACATGTCATAGAGCCTAGTGAACTGCCTGCCTCCCATAGTATCTGCCTGGCTGATTCAATCCAGCAGGGATAGTCACTGCTGTCTCAATTAAGAGTACAATAAATGTTAACCCCCACCCCCCACCCCCTACATATTTGATCTTGCCAAAGTACATTGCTCAATGTGACCATAAAATATTTTTATGATATATACAAGAGGTGCTACCAAGGTATGAGTTTTAATTTCTAAGTTATCTATGTAGAAGTAATAATCTTTCATCCACATTGAATGCTAATGGTTTTAAATGTGGGGAATTTGCCATTTTTTGGTCGAGCCATTAACAATAATAACTTCTATTTTTGCCATCTATTGCCCATATGATTTATGATAGATTACTCAGGACTGGAGAAATATTAAACCATAGAGTGACATTTCCACTTTTTTCTGAGTCTGTTTTCCTTTAAAAAAAACATGGTCCTATTGAAACCTATTAGAGGATTTTCTTCTATTGAAGCCAATGGGAGGATTTTGATTTATGGCAATACCAATTTGGGGGGGTGTCTGCAGTATATTGCTATAATTTCAGAATGTGCTTAGTGCTGAGACATCTTAACACACTTACTTGCACAGCCTCTGCCATACCCCCAAAGCATGTTCTAGAGATGCTCTGACTAAATGTATAATTTCTGGAACATGGTTTTTGGAACCATAGTACTGAAGTCTTAGATTTATTTATTTTTTTGTCTCCATATTTAGAAATTCACGCCAGCAATTGTCTGCAGTCTTTATATGACTGAACATTTCTTGAATGGATTCTTCTTTTGCTAACTATAGTCTGTTTGTTGAAAATAATTCAGCCCTACAACTGGAGTTATGCACTTATCCCTGAACAAATAGCTGTAGGATAAAACGGTTACTGGAATGTCCTTGGAACAACTGTTAAGTTATTCCTCAAGGTAAGTCAGAATGGCAGACATTTGTTCATGCAGTCACCAAGAGCTGAAATGACTCGATGGGAATTAATGGACTGATTCCTAAGTGTTGTGTTTTAGGGGAAACTGTTGATAAAGAGGCATCTCCAGGCAGGGGTCAGAAAATGGCAAGCATAAGACTGCATGATTGTCACGTATAAAAACATGCGTGCGTATTTGATTGCATATTGACTTTTTGGGCCCACTCTCATGTTGCTAGTTCTTTTCCAATTAAGATTGGAAGCACAGCTCATCCTGATAAATAAAAAGTACATCAATTTCCTTAGTCAGTTACCAAAGTACAGGACAATTGACCTCTGTGAGGTAGCCCATTAAACATTGTTTCCAGTGAAGCAAGGTTTAAGTATTGAACTATATTTGGTGAACATCTGGGGGATTTCCCTGGTAAAGCCCACCCAGCACTGGGAAATTTCAGTGTAGACTTCCTCCCTCCATTTCTCTCTTCCAGTGAATTCAGCAAATGCTAGGGGTTTGTGAGTCACTAATTCTCAAGGTTGTTTTACTGCATATGTTGCTCTGACACCTAACCATTTGAGAGAAGAGGACATTGATTTTTTAAAATACAATATAAATATTAATGAAATTAAGCTAAACATTCCTCACGAGTCTGTTCCTAGAAATTAGAAACTGAATAATGATTCTGCAGTTATGACTGTAGTTATGGCGCCAGATCAGCGAGTGCTTTGAAGTCATACTTACTTGTTTGTCTACTTACATGGTCGTTGAAACAGGCAGAGAGGCAAGTTTAGAAAACCATTTTATTAGACAAATTATTTAGACAAATTATACACAGAAAGCTCTGCCACTTGCAACCGAGGCCTCCAAAATGTGTTTGTGTATAATAGACAACACATGGAAATAATTGGTTTATCACTGAAACCGCCGCAGCATCTGCTATACCCCTATAGCTTGTAAAGAAATTTCGTCCCTTTTTTTTGTTCTTTTTTCCTTTTATAAATCAGTTGTGTAGATGTTCATGAATGTTACAAGGGGAAACAAGTTGTGCATGCTTTTAAACACTTGTACCCTGGAAACAGAATGGCCTTTCTCATGATAAGAAAATTGTTCTGCCTTACACAGTAGACAATATTATGCAGATTTCATACAAAAAAACAATGACAGTACAAGTTGTTTTCCCAGAACAGAATTAGGCATCAAAATAGAATAGATTTGAAGAATATACCTTGAATTTCTCCTACAGCAGATCACCTAAGCTGGTTCCTATAATCAAGTTCTATCCACATAATTGAGTTAGATTAACGTAAATATTATATCAAATTAAAACGAACAAAAAAACACAGAATAAGTTGGCTTGCTTTCTACTTAACCGCAGTTTAGTTTATAAGGATAACAACTGAAGCTCATTTTTACAGTTCTGAACAAGTAAGAGTGTTAGCTTCAAAAATGTCCCCAGGCCAAAGGAGGCACTGTTTTTTGCTGTCGTCAGTTTATCATTCTACACAATTGGAACTCACATCAAAAATACATCTATAATTGAATATGTAATAAAGATTTAAATAAAAGCTTATTTTCTCTCCCCATCCCTCTTTCTTGGAGTACTATAGGACTGCAATTAAGGCCACACCAATAATTCTCAACAGCCTTCCGTCACCAACTCTCTCTCCTTTTCCAAATATTGATAGTATTGATTTCAATAGGGCTTATTCACCTTTCATGATCTGTTTTTCATGCCCCTGTGGCTGAAAATCAGACATCCCTGGATATGTATTTGTATTTTTAATCAATGAGTGTTTCCCAATTTTGCAAATTAATGTAAAAATAGCATGATTAACATTAACTTTAAACACTGCTGAATAGCAATAGCAAAAAAAAAAAAAAAGTAAATGGGTGAGTTATGCATTTAGGTACAATTGTTAAATTGCCCTGGACGGTGCAATAAAAAAGGTACAGTATAAAATATGTTCAATCAAACAATGTAAATCAGAATAGCATTAAAGCACCCCATCTTTTCTTTGCAAAAAGACTCCTTGCCCTGTACATCTTTCCAGAATACATTTGTTTTTACTAAAGCTTTAATTAGACAAATTGCAATAGCATTGGCTGCCATTTTATAGATATATTATATATATGTGTGTGTGCGTGTGTGTGTACATGTACATACATATATATCCCCCCACACACGCCCACTCACATATACCAAAGCATGTATATATATATATAGGTATATATATGTATGTATGAGAGACTAATTTATTCAACAGAAGATTCTGCCATATGATACAGTTCTCTGTACACAAGAAAACAAAAACTTCTAAACTCTGTACAATTCCAGAAAGATCATATGCACTGTTGCAGTGCAAAAAGGAGATTTAACTGTAGTCTTTACTGGCATAGCAATGGCTTCATGAAATCCTACAAAATTGCATTCTCATGTTAAATGGTCTCTCCCTTCTCTTTACCATTTCTCTCATTTTTGTTTTCCTATAAAAACTGCAAAGTTGGCCTTTGGTCCAGAGTTAAAAGGACACACAGTAGCAGAGAAGCATGAAATGGATGCTAGAGAACAGAGAAAAGACTGAAGTTATTGCAATTATATTAAAAAAAGTAAAGAAAAACGATTCAAAGGTATTTCAGTGAAGTAATGTCGTATTTTTGATACAGACTTGATATTTAGTTCCTATATTTCAAGTGTTATGACATAATGCTGTGGAGACCTTCAGATTCAATTCCAGAATGGTGCTTTGGAACACGTGGGAGTCAAACATAGCACCTGTATGCACATTTAAAGCCACTGTTTTATTTCTGAGGTCATACAGCTGCTACAGGATGCCTAAAAAAGACATGGCTGCTTTACAGAATGGCAAACAGTTGTTACATTTACACCCCTGTGCACTCAGAAGCAGCTAATTGGGATCATAATTGAAGACCTGCACAGCTGAATAACTACTATTAGAAGGATGGCAGGTAGTTTTCCTACAGTAGCTCAGGTTGCACTTACTTCAGAGTAGTACCACCAGTCTGAGGGTGGCAAAGTTGAGGTCATCATACATTCTAGAGAAGACTTACTCCAGAACCACTTTAATTTAGCCAGTGGGGCTACTCTAAAGCTGGGCTGAAAATCATGGCCTCAAGTAGTATAAGAGAGAAAATGAAAAAGAGGAGGGCAAGAGGAGGGATGGTGAGTTGTTACTAATACTCCTGATTTCTTTTAAAAAAAGTTACATCCAAGTTAGTTCCACAATATCACAGCCGCTCCTTGCAAAGGGAGTCCTAAAAAGAAACAGTGACAAAGCAATGTCTGAAGCTTTATATGGATGTGCCTCGGTCTGGATCGTTACCGATGTTAAGCCCTAAAGTTGGAGTTGGTTGATATGGAATCGAAGACATTGTTTTGATAGGACTTCTGAAAAAGCCCCCATTTGGAGCCCTGTGCCTGAAAGGGCCAGTCCGGTGTTCAGGCACACTGCCGAAAGAGAATCCAGAAGCAGCTTTAGCTGAAAGTGTGCGACTAAGAGTCTGGATCTGCTCTGGTATGAAGGTTGTGGTAGTGATGTGAGTGTTCCTGAAGTCACTGATTTGCTCTAGTGCTTGACGCGTGGGCAAAGTGTCAATGTCCAGGGGAGTCAAGTCAATGGATGAAGTGGAAAACTGTTTATGGGGGCTCTCATCATCTGTGCAGAGGCTGTTCACACGTCTGTGGAGATGCTCTAGATCAATTTCTTTGTCATCCTGGAGGGAGCAAAGCAAAAGAAAGAAAAGAAATAATTTACTCTTTGATGCCTTCATTTCCAAACCAAAAACAAACATCTTCCATAGTGGAGAGAAGAAGCTGATCTGGAATTAGGAAATAGAACGCTCATGATTTTGTCCAATTAAACATAGATAAAAATGAATCAAAATGTAATCTTGAATAATGGCAGAAGGTTGATCAGATTATCTATCTAGAGGTCATACTGCAGTTTCAAGTGTTGTAGCTTTTGTCTCAAACACTTGCCTAGTGCTGTACAATGATCATGCAGGCAATTTCCTCCAGATTCTGTCAGTTCTTTGTCAGCTCTGACAAGGTTGGGTAAGCAAGATGGCATAGTTTGTGCCATGCAGTGCTGCTGTTGTGGCATGACATCCTGTGGTACCCATAGTACTATAGTCATTCTTAATTCTTCCCACTTCATATTTAGCTTTTAGTCTATAGAGACAACAAAGTTAGAATCAATAATTGATTCTCAGGCAGAATAAATTCTTGGTATTGGACTACTGTTCTTATTCTCTAGGGATATTTGAGTTTTGGTGGTTCATAAGAATTATTGCAATCTTTGCAGTCATGCATAGAGACTTTTTTACATAACCTAGACATTAGTGATGTTAGCAGCAGATCTTAGGTGCTTCATTTTTCTTTTACCAACCCTCGTCACAAAACATGCAATTCATAATACTTTTTGAAAGATAAGGGACTTTAGTTCATCAGCTAGAACTTTATTTCACTAAAGTATCTATAAATCACTTTTATGTTGGAATACTAGCAAGTCGGTTCCTAAAAATTAGTTTCGATAGATTTTTTTTCATTCTGTTTCAGCTTCATTGGTAAACTAATTTGATGGTGTATATGTTTTAGAGTAAATAAATTTGGACAATGGTAATAAATATGTAGCATTGCCAGCAGCTTTGCCTAAGAGATTAAATCCAGATTATTCTTGATATTAAATAAAACAAGAGAAGACATGTCCAGAGACTAGTAAATCATGATACTGCATGTTATAATCTATATCTCACTTTTCATGGACAATTTCCAGATGTAGGCTTTCTTTAACGACTAGTATTCTGCAGCACATAGCAGACACTGCCCAGATGTCAACTGTACTGATAATCATTATGTAGAGCCACAAAGAAAACTATCAGTGGCAATACCAAATTAGAATTTATTTCCTGTCTATCTCTTAGAAATGGGATACTCTGAACACCCAAAGCCTCACCAGCAGGAGGACTCAGTCTTTCATCAGTTTTTAAGGGCAATTATTGTGCATTCTTTTATTGCTATTATTCATGATGGACATATTTTCTCTAAAGTTTTGCTTGGTTTCAGGCAAGAGAAGTAATACAGGGAAAAAAAGAGGAAAATGGAGATGAAGATAAAAGGAAATAATGCAAGAGGAAATCTCACAGAAGCCTTAGACACAGAAAATACTGTGTGTTGTTGATAGGAAGATAATGAAAGGCTAAGGAAAATTTCTAACAGGAAATTTGTGGATTTTAAAGACTACATGTGAATTTCATATCTTGATGTGAATAAACATGCCAATTATTTGGCTGCTAATTTCTGATGTTTTATTTTGATGCTAATTCAGAGTTGGCTGATATGGGCATCTGAAAAAATGTAGTGGGGATTATAATGATGCTAGATGGAAATTAACAGCTCTCATACTGAATGAAAGCATATTTTTAGCCCTAAGCAGTACATTTTCATTATATGAATAATACATTTTGAAGTTAAATTTTGTTTCTGCTCTAACTGTAAAATGTTATTTTTCAAACAATATTTATATATGTAATGCTAGCATAGAATTATTGCAACACCGTATTTATTTACATCCAGTACAAACTTAATTATCTATGTTGGAGGGGAAAGAACTAATACTGTTTATTGTGTCCTGGTAGAAGCTATAACCATTTCTGGTATCTGACTAAAGATCTTAATATTGCCTTAATTTTCAAATGCACAGAAGTCTGCTTGTACATAGTTTGCTCGCTCCTTTTTGTTTTCAAAGCCTTCCTGTCAAAATTCAGTATAAATGAGTATGCTAACATAACCAAGCAACAATGTGTCAACTAACAGAAAGCAAAAGCAAAGATAAATTACATGTATTGCATGTAATGTGTGCATTAGTCTGTGTACAATACATATACACACACCCATACACACGCACACATGCATACACACACATAAGAAAAACAAGGGACAGAAAATACCTTATTTTCTTACTACTATTATTTTCACTGGTTTCATTGGTATTTGCACTTTCTATCATGTCCTTAAGGAGCTTTAAGGAAACCAGAGAATTCCTGCAGGAATTAATGTGTATTAATTAAGTCTTATTTGATCAGGTGCTTGCATGGAATAGAGTCTAATGTGGGTCAAGTGTATTAACAGCTAATTTACACTCCATATATGCATGCTTGTGCTACATCACTTTTTGTCACTTCATAGAAGCCACTTGCCGGATACTATAGTATCCATATTGTTTATATCCCATTTCCTGTTTGCAAAGCATATGTCTCTCTATATAACAAAGGTCAAAGGAAACCAGCGTATGGCCTTGTCTCCTCCTAGCCATCTATTCTCTCCACGCTCCTCAACTGAAGGTTAATGGCTTGCCGAGAAGAATTTTTTTCATCCATGGAGTCTGGATGTTTAATTTAGAAGCCCAGATGGAGGAGGCTGTTTTTTACCCAGTTGCCCTCTACATATAGAAAGAGAGAAAAATACAATGAAGGTTGCTCTCTCCATTCTTTAGTGAGATATAAACACTACGTTTAACCCAAGGAGAGCTTCTCATTTCACAGTAACCACATTATAATAGGTCACAGTTAACTAACTTAACCAGGACTTAATAAACTTATGAACTAGTAATAAGAATACAGGGCTGAGGTGAAAACTTGCAATGTGTTAAACCATTACAATGTGTTAAACCAACAACAGATGCTACTTTTACATCGTACATTAATTCAGACTCCCAAATGTTGACCAAGTGAATTTGGCCTGGAAATGCATTAGTAAAGGCCCCTTTGTCTTTTATTATTAATTTGTTATTAATTTTGTTAATTTTTAATTAATAATAAATTCGTTATTAATTTTCACCTCATAGAAATATATTTATAGAAATACTCTCCAACATTCAACATTATCAAAGCCAGTGTCTGCTCGCGCTGTGGGATTTGCCATCTATTCTCCTTCACATGTACCTATTCCAGTAGTTTGGGGACTATGGGGAGAAATGGTAGATAAAGCCATTCAGTTACTATCTGACATTATTAGATACAATGTACTATTTCAAGTAGTTTTGGTATAATTTTCTCTTTTTAGCTATTACTGATTCCTCAATAACTGTCCTCTATGATGGCAGGGGTGTTACAGATCTCAGGATTAATAGTGATAGACCTCATTGTACTTAATTTACTATCTCAAGATCTAACACATGTCAATTTATCTTCAAAAAGTTGTCCCTGTAGGGTAGAAAACAATCATTGTGAGCTAAGAACATCCAAAGTCCAAATCACATTCTGGTATCTAAAATAAATGATCAGGGTATATGAAATTACCTAATATAGCCACAGTAGGACTTGAATTTAAATTTACATTCACTTTTAAATGTAAGATTTCTGATATTTTCACCTTTAATCTGGAATATCCTGCTTGCAAAGTTGACTTAATATATCTTTTATTCATTTGGTTTGATTTATGGGCAAAGAAAGCAAAAATCAATTTAACATCATATTTAAAGAACATTTGGGGTTAAAGGTTTGCTCTGTTGGCCCCAGAAATTAAATACAAATTCTGCTATGATATAAATAGAGCGACTTACTGACCAGGTTTCTGAATATCTACTAGTGGCAAAGCAAGCAGAAGGGAATTCACCCACAGTCACCTGCATGCATTCAGAGATAATATAGACTTCATCAATATGACCACTCTTATGATACTCTTGTTAAAAATTAAGATGCTTGGAGTCCTTTTTTCCTAATGTAATGTGTGAATTGATTTTGATGATTAAAGCATGATCAATGGGTTCAGTTAGACAAATTTTAATTTTATCTTTGCAGTAACATCTATTTTATCTTAAATAATCCATCCTCCATGTCATTCCTATATGGTCTTCTAAGATTAGTTCATTTTTACTGCTGAACATAATCTCCACTGATGCCCAATTTATAAGAAAATGAATGGAAGACTTTTAAGAATGATAATTGCCCAAATGCCATCCCTTGATTCATACTCCACCCACTCAAGACATCAAAATGAGACACCACTCACAGGATGGTTTGTGCATAGCTCCACAAAATGATTGCTCCTCTTCTTTCACATGTGCCTTGATCAACAGTGAAATATTCAACAATGCAGACATTTAAATTATCACCAGGCTTCAGAGTTTACATCCCTTTGAGATTAATGGGGACAGGTCACGCTTCTCTCAGAGCTATTGTTTAAGGCTGTCTGCAGACACAAGCAGACATGACTGCATGGGTTACTTTGGTTCACAATTTAAAAGCTAATTTTACAACCATAAGGCATTTATTTGTTTGTTTTCTTAGAACAAAAAGATTGCATTCTGAAGACCAATGGGCCTTGGATAAGTTGATGCAATGTGAACTCCATCTGGGGGCTCTGGAAGAGCCAATGGATTTCATGATGGTTAAAACGAATGCTAATTCACAATCTTTGCTGCATGAATGAACCTTTATATCTTGGATAGAGAGAATATTCAGTATACATTTCCATTTGGAACTCCATATTTAAATAAAACCTTCTCAAAATTGAATAAGGACTTGGTTGCAAGCCAAACAAATTATGATATGAAGTTCCAAAATACTACTTCATGTAGATTTCACCCACATTTTAAATTGCCAATATTTGCAATGGTTAAATGGTTTTCCCCCTCACCCCACCTATTTCTTCAGGCTGTAAATCACAAGGATAAAGTTTGTATAAGTTTCTTCTAAACAGTAATCTCATAAATTGATCCCTTGGCTGTCTGATACAGTCACGCTCTTCTTTTGTCAGTGGTCTGATTTAGAAGTGCAGACTCACATTTACTCTGATGAATTGCAAGCCTGCCTAAAGAGAATGATTGAAACAAAATCCAGAGATATTGCACTATGAGTAGGCCAGAAAAGAAATTTAAAAATAAACATTTCAGTACTGTGAAAATGAAGCCATATTTTATATTTGACATTTTGATAGTGATGAATTTTATAAATACATCCCATTCTCTTGAAAGTAATAGGTAGTTGGAGCTTTGCAAAGCCAGCGAAAGCTTACTTTTATGCAAGGACTTGTGGGCTCAACCTGAATAGAGTGAGGGAATGCTCATGCCCCCTTGTGTTTCTGAGCATGCATGCTGCTTAGAAGCCTACTGTACATTTAATTGTAAGGTCTGAAGAAGACCTCATGCCAACAAGCTGGTAATTTGTTGAGAGATATATGTTTACAGCAACCCTTTGGCCTTTACCGTTAAATATATAAGAAGTCTTTGAAAGAGCTTGACATGTGGAGATGTTGGGGGTAGAGTCTGCACAAATGTCCCATCACTCATTTAGCCTTCTCTTAGCAGGCTGAACAGACACACAGGGCTGCTAATAGCCCACTTTTCCACAATCTGGATTTGCCACCTAATGTACATTCAAAAGGGAGCTGTAGCCACTCCATGCCTTTCATTAATACAATATCTGCTAACCCTGCTCACTATATTGACTATGTTAGGTACCCACTTAAAACAGCTGAGGTCTACACATAAACATTTAATGTGTGAAGCAGCTCTTAGTTCACATTAAGAAAATGAAATCAAGCAAGAGAGGCTCTTCCATTGATTAAGCTCACAAAGTACTTGCTGCCTGAAGGGCTGGTAAGAAGGTACCAAAATTAAGCATAAGGGCTAAACTCAAAAATCACAGATGCAAGAGGCTTTAAGTGTGTCTTTCTTAACCAACGGTCGGTCTTTCTTTAGTAAAACCTTATTTGGAAACATAGGGAATTTGAAGTTGTTTGCAGTAGGGCATTGGAGATCTGCTGTTCAAAGAGGAAGAGGTCTGTTTGAGCACATAATCCTGGCCCTTGCTCAAAATTATTAAAATCTCCTTAAATAGGCATCTGACTGAAAAACTGTGTATAGTCATAACTTTTGGGGAAAAAAATTAAAAAGTTAAAACACATCTAGAAATCTAACCATTAAATCTAAAGAGAATTGTGTTCCCACTAATCTGAACACAATTTTACCTGAGTAGTTCTGAAAATGCTTAAAATAGTTGTGGAAAATCTTGAACAATTTAAGACAGAATTTTGCAGCCAAATATGACAGAAATGATTGATAGAAATGTCAACTGAATAAAGTAATTCTAATAATTATCCGCCATTTAATTGGTTAGTTATTTGATCATTAAATTTAACTTTTGGGTGATCATTTGCAGATCACCAAAAAGGAAAAACAGAATGAAGCCCCCAAATGTATGTGATTGTAAGGAATGTATATGACAATGTACAGTTTAATAAACTATCTTTTCTTGTTCATATCTTATAAAACAGGGAAGTAAAATTTTATGTGAAGTCAAACTGATTAACATTTGATCCCTCTTTAATCAACTAAAAATAAAATTCAGCCAAACCAATTAAAGATGCAGTCTTAGATTTAAGCCCTATGGAATTAGTAGGATTTCTTTTGAATGTAGGATCAGGCTCCATTGTATGCTGGTAGAAGATAGATCTTATCCAGATTAGGAATAAAATACTTAATTGCTAATACTTTATAAATAATATTAAAGCCAATTATTATTCACTAAATGGTCATGAACAAGATATGTGCTAGCAAATCCCACTGAAATTAATTAGGATAAGTATTCATAACTCCAACATTATATTACTTCTTTCTTCATTTTTTTTCAGAGACAAATGGTTCACAATTGGCGATTAAAATGCTATTAAAAACATATCAGAAGACGCATTTTCCTTCTCACCTCTAGTGCTATGATGAAATGGAAGGGTCTCATACCTCTTTTGAAGGAACCCGTGAGCCTTTTCTTTTATTCCACCATGTTTCCAACATGGCAATTAAACAGGAGAGAACTATCCCAGCTGCCAGTATGCAAAATACACCTGCAAAGCTTTTTATGTCCAAGGCTCCCCCTTTATATTTGGGGTCCACAGAAGAGTGAAGATCACACTGGGCATTCTTTGGCCACCACTTATGCTTCAGTAGATCCATGTGTCCATTCTGCTGAAGTTCTAGAATCCTTGGAGAGAAATCACAGAGTCATGAATGTCTTCAATAGCAATAGAAGATTTATATAGCTGTACAGTCCCTGATACCAAAAGAACTCATATATGTGAAAATATTCCTGATGCCAGCAACCATGTTGCATAAGCTATGATCCAGGCCTCTTAAGTGCAGTAATACTGACATCATTAGATGACTATATCAATGATAACTATCACAATGAGCATTATAAATGGCCAGACTGATGTCCAAACTGTGAAACCATTGAAGAAGCAGTTGTATGGAGCCACTTAGCATTCCAATTCTAAATATAGATGTGAGAATTATGTTTAAATTATTTTAAAAAAATAAGCTTTATATAATGGCCACAATGTCTAGTACACTTGTGTGCTCATTTCACTGAAGTTTCTGATGCTTAAATAGTCCTAACACTGATACAATGAGTTGTATCCAGGTTTGGTGAATGGGGTTTAATTTAATAATGACTATGTTAACTCCTGTACTCTGTCCAGAGTCCCTCATGTGAGATGGGTTGCCACATAAATTGAATGAATGAATGAATGAATGAACGAACAAACAAACAAACAAACAAACAAACAAAC